AAGTTTCCTTTGTGTATGGATATTTCTGCTCTCTAGCAAGGTAGGATCGAATGGTACCGCAAGCAACACGGTTGATAATTCTCCAATCTTCTTCTCCAATAACATCTGGTCTTTTTTCTTCAATGGCAAGATCTAGCCCTTGTTAAAAAAGGACATCTAGAACCCCGCCTTGCCACATCCCAAAATGTCCTGATCCGTCAAATATTTCTACCGCAAATTTCGCATTTGACACAATTCTTGTCATAAGAGAAGATGTCAACGATGACGTATTATTGACACTTGATGTAGATTCTTCTTGTTTATTGTCTCCCATTTTGACACGAATATTATTTAATAGCTGACGACACGAATCAAGATTATTTCCTTTCTGGTGTGGAAGATCAGACTAAGCTGCAACCACAGAGCATACTAAGACATAACCTTGACACAGTTACCAAGATAAATTTTTTTTGATGTGGAAGATCAGACTATGCTGCAACCATAGAGCATACTTAGACAGTACCTTGGCTCTGATACCAATTGTTGCGGAAGCCAAATATATATAGTGTGAATGAGTCACAATTACTATACCAAAAATTATGGCAGCCACCAAATAATAAATAAGACAATAAAGCAACAATAAAAAGAACACTAGAATTTACGAGGTTCGGACAATTTTGCCTACTTCCTCGGACACAACCAATATTTATTCCACTCCAAAAATACAAGTGAAATAATACTAAAAGAGAGAAGATTCAAATGCCTTAAGAAGATAAGAAAACAAATGAGAGGTGTGTTTTAATCCTAAACATTAGGCCTCCTTTTATAGGTGAAATTTCCATAAATATTTTGCCCACAACCGATGTGGGACTTTGGCAATCAATACTGAGGTTTGGAGATGAACCCCTTCTTGCATGACACGATCAATTAACCTCTTATACTCTGAAATAGTAGCATTGGTGTTTCCTCTGATTTTTGATCCGGGGTTCTTCTTAATCGCACATATTACAAACATTTTTGCTTCCTCATATTTCAATTCCTGAAGAAGAGAGTCAGCCAAGAAATACTCCATCATCAACCAACGGCCATTCAAAGAGGAGTCTTTCTTGTTCTTGTAACTCAAGCTTCTTTTATACCTAATAATCAGACTTCCATCTTCAACAAGAATTTTCTTGCCTTTATTCTGCTGTGCCCAACTCCCATATTTTATTGTTTCCATATTTTTATTTCATTCAAGAACTTAATTGATTTGATTAAAAAAGTTATTATTATTAGGCCAATTCTAAATCATCTAAATATTTTCTAGTGATGAAATTTAAATCATATTACTTGTTACAAAATCAAACAATTTACACTTGTTACATGCACAAATTCATATTAACTACCATAGATCAATTGTGAAGTGATAAAACTTACGTAAAAATATATGGCATACATTTATTGATTTAATAAATGCAACAATGCAACTAATTAAATCTTATTATTAATAAAAATCAATAGAAACAAAAAAGATATTGATATAATGTTTTTATTTTATTTTTTTACTATTATTAAAAATTGATTCCAATCGCGCTATGAATACGAGCATAAAGAGAATTAAACTTCCATATAGTTCCTCTTGTGGATTATGCGTTAAATTGCTTTTTGTTTTTGTTTTTAGACTACACACAAATTAGCCCCGGTTCTCTCTTTAGTGTTCGCATATTAGGCGTGCATTCACTAGTTTAGCTTCTAAGATTGGTATGCTCTACATCTATAAAATAAACTCTCGAATATTGTTTTGTCTTTACTGACACCAAGCTTGGTGAAGTGAATGTGTTAGTTTATATGAATCCACCAAACTATAGAGTACCTGATGCTCTATGAGTTTTCACTGAGAATACTAATTAAAACAGTAAGTAAAATGAGACACGGGATTTTTACGTAAAAAAATCCCAAGTCAAGGGGACAAAAACTACGACCTACACTTGTAGGCTTTCAACTTCACTTACTTGTAAACACACTATTACAAGCTACTTTGTAATGACTCTATTACAAAGACTTCAACTCAACTAACTTGTGATACACTTATCACAAGCCACTTTATCACTCACTAGTTATAAAGACTTTAACTTATGACTAACTCTATTCACAACACAAACTCAGAAGATTTATGATTTTGAGTTTTCTAAAACAATGCTTCTAAGAAAGCAAGATAGGAGATACAATGAAGAACAAACAACAAGATTACAACTCAATTACGAACGCACATAGACTCATTGTGGAACTGATCCTTAGTGAAGTTGTCTTCTTGTTCTTGACACACTGGTGACTTCAATGTTGGATGCGATCTTTAATGCTTGAGAGAATATCACTAAATGCTCAAGTGAATATCTTGTGCCTTGCACCATATTGTTATACTACTAAAGACATCCCAAGGATGATGTCAATTCTTGGTTGGTACACGCCTCTTCCTAATGGGAAGTGACTGCTGCACTGTCGCGTGTACAGTTGCAGGCAGTCACTTCTGCAGTTGCTTTCCAGCTGTATAGTTGACTTGTACTTCCCGTCAGAGAATCACCAAGGGATCAGGTCTCTATCTTGTTCCTCTATTCTCTATACTTGTAGTAGTAACTATAGCTGGAGTTTAGGCTGGAATGTGTACCAAGTGTGTAAGGTTCCCTATCTGGTTCTTGACAGTAAGTTTGTTAGATCATCAAAACATAAGGCAAAGACATTGAAAACCCATCAATTTCCCCCTTTTTGATGATGACAAACTTAGACATTGATAACATATATTTAGAGCAGAGATAACCAGATGAGGTAACATGAACTTCACAAGTTCCCCCTGACTTTATGCTTCCTTCTTAATCAGATCCCCTGTTTCAATTCCAATTATACTTCCCCATTTTGGTATCATTAAAAATACACAAGCAGGCAAACATCATAAAGAAGTCTAACATAGCCAACTCATGCCATATATGTGCACACAACATGACAGAAAAGAGAAGCAAAAGGAAAACAACATTGTACAAGTAAAAGGAAGAGTTGTTTTATTGATATGAAAATGGACTAATTAAACATGAGCAATAGCGGTGAAATCCAACATGCCATCACAAAAAAAAAACAAAAAAAAAACAATAACCACAAATCATTATAACAGAAGACATCTGGTCACTGAGAGGTTTCTAATTGGCACTAGAAGAGGGAGACTTGGAGAAGGAGGTAGCAAGGGTTTTGAGAACCAGGTCCATACGGGCATTTGCAGATAGCCGCTCTTCAAGAAATTTTGTGTGAATCTCATCATTTTCCTTGGTCAAGCGTGCTACTTCTTCATAGGAAGAATTAACAGAACCAGGTTCCCCAACAACTTGACTAAGCTGAGTTTCCAGTATGGCATTCTAAGCCCTCAACCTCTTGATCTCTTCGGTAGCAGCATTTTGAGCATTGATTAGTTGAGAAATAGCCAAGGTGCTGCCACCAACCTTTTCTACACACACACACTCTTCCAGAGTAGTTTTAGAGAAGGTTTGCTTGCGGGTGCCCACTTTGGGATTGGCCAAAGGAACCTTGTAGAACTTAAACACTCGAGTGAGAAGAAAGCCATATGGAAGCCCGAGATTGCCACCTTTAAAATTTGCCACCTTTTGCATGTGTTCTATCATGATTGCTGGCATATTGATTGGGGCAAACTCCTCAAGAGCCTCCATTAAGACTAGATCAGACTTTGAAGCAATAGACCGTCTCTCAACACGAGGTAAGAGCACCTTATTAACCAACTTAAAGAGAAGCTGATACTTAGGAAGTAGTGCCTTCTTATGCACCCGTTCCCCCTGCTGAATAGCTTTCTCTTTCATAATAGCTCTCCTAAAGTTAGCTCCATAAACACCCTTGACTGAGGACATCCCTTCACATGGAACTTGGAGAACTTTCCCCAAAGCTGAAGCGTCAAGCACAATGTGTATTCCATTTACTAGAACACAGATGTAGTACCCCTCAACTATGAAAAGAGATGCGTAAAAGTTTTGTACCGCATATTCGTACACTTTAGGCACATCCTCTTGAAACAAAAGATCCCATTGTTGAAATTCCACCATCTCCAGAACTTGCCTCATACCTGCCATCTCTGAGATTGTAGGGTCAAACATACAACCCCACAAGACTTTCTGAGTTCTCAATCTCTCCTGCCACAGACCACTGTCACTGGGTATGGTCTTCGTAGAACCACGTCCTCCTACAGTTTCCCATTTTCATTTTCTAGACCCTTCATCAGACTTCCCTTTCCAGCTTGCAACCCCCACAGTATCTCCTTCAGACATAGCTTGCTCAACTAACACCTTCTTAGACTTACTGCTACCCTTCACAGATGTTCCACTTTGTTTCGCAATAGCTTCATCGGAAGCTCCAACCATAAACTTCTGGAATTTTATAGATCGTTTCACTAAGGAACTAGGTTCCTCTACAACATCTTTATCAACCTCAACCACTGGAATGCTTTTGTCAGTCACAAATTCCCCCTATTTCATCAACCTCTTCTTCTTTTTCTTGATACTCCTCTTACTTTTCTGCAAGGCAGACTCGAAAGCCTTTTTCTACTGTAACCTGGTAGTGGGTCGCTTGGAAGAGGATTCAGGAGTCACTGCTGGTTTACGTATCTTAAACCACACACTGAGAAATCATCAACATGGACCTCACTGGGTGGAATGGATTCCAAGGGCTTAGGATAAACAAGAGGTTCCTAGGTTGTTTCAACTAGAAGAGAATTAGGTTCTCCAACAGGTTTTTCTGTGACTGTTTCATGGACTGGAGACTCGAAGAGTACCAAAGTTCTTTCATGCCCTAGGAATGGAGTTTCTCCCCCCTGAGACTCAGACAAAAGGGAGGCTCCTTCATTCAAAAGACTCTCAACAGTGATAGCCATGATATTGTGTGCTACTTCCTTTTCTGGTGACTCCATAGGAGCCAATGAGTCCAAAATGGAGGAGTTCAAATACTGATCAGGATCATCCTCAGAGACCTCTGACACCTGAGGTGTAACACTTTCTAAGCATTCTTTGGTGAGATCAGAAGAAGGGGAAGACATGGGGTTTTCAACACATGGAAGGGTGACAGAGTTTGACGGAGAAAGAAATATGATAGGAGATGATGAGGAAACATATGTGGGTGTAGTGGTATTGGGGATAGTAGAAGAGTGGGTTTCCGGGGGTGGCGAAGTGGAAATGGTGTTGATGGCAGGAGAAGGAAAAGACTGTTCGTTTGCCATTGTAAGAGGATTTGGTAGAGAAATTTGAGTGAGAGAGAAGGGAAGAGGGCATCACAGAGATACAGAGAAGATGAAGGTTCAGGACTACTGAGAGAGAGAGAGAGGGTTTTATGGGAAGAAGGGCTAATAATAGGAGGGGAGAGGAACGATTCTGAAAGATTTTAAAATGGCGGTAGATTTGTGGGAATACGTAATGTGCAGAGGAGGTGAAAGGATTTGAAAGATAAGACGTAATATGCAAACTCTAAAAAGTTGGATGATGTGGAAGTTGAATTAATTTTGTCAACCTTTTTGAAAAAGCATGTGAAACACACATTACTACTAACCTGTGGTAGAGGAACCTAGTTCCTGACCGGTTTTTGTAAAAGATTTTTGCAGCTCTCTTTCATAGTTCAACATTACACCTTTAGCTTCTATGATCGTCATGCGTGTTTACCTACAACGGTATAGATGTGAGTTAGGCCTAGTCAGAAAACACTTTAGCCAATTTTACCTGAATGAGACTTTCATGGTCATGTGAGCAGAACCAGGTTCTCACGTAGGTTTAATTAACTCAAGTGCCACCCTATTTCTCTCAAAGTGTTCCTTGCTCACAACTTTTGTGAAGGTGTCTGCAATTTGATCTTCTGTGCAGCAAAATCTCATACAAATAGTCACCTTTTTCACATTATCTTTGAGACAATGGTATCTGACATCAATATGTTTGGTTCTGTTGTGCTGGACTGAGTTCTTTGCCATGTTAAGAGTGTCTGCTTTAGCTGTTGAGAAAGCCGCTGGGTTGTGTTTCCTTGTACCCCATAAGATTAAGCATGATCTAATAGAATGAGCCATTCCAGATGTGCTCTTCTTAACCACCAGATAACTTTGTTTCTTTCAAATTGATGCAGTTCCTCTTGCATTACTGTAATCCAGTCAACATCATTCAAGGCTTCCTTAATATTTTTGGGTTCTATC